TGTCCAGCTTTCGCATCCATATGAGGTTATTGAAAATACCATGGCTTGGGTCAGGCGCACCTTAGTCCTGAAGCTGACTAGTAATACTATTTAAAATGTTACTACTTTTGATAAGTATGATCTCCATCAATAGTGGCAACTTTGTAAAATAATAATTTTTATAGGATGACAAGAAAATTGCATTTCTTTTCTAAAACTAAGAATCCATAATAAATCAGACAGGAGATGAGAAATACTATTAAAGAATAGACTACCTCTTTCCCCTCTTTGGCTGGTGGAGGAGGCTGAAGCCGTGCTGGTCGCGCTCCCCCCTTCTTGTCCCTTCAGCGACCTCCCCCTACGCAGGACTGTCCCAGCCCGGACATGGCTTGTGGGCAGCAGAAGATTCAGTCTCAGCAGAAAAATGCCAAAAAGCAAGCTGGACAAAAGAAGAAACAAAGATATGACCAAAAGGCTGCTGCCAAAGCTGCTTTAATATATACCTGCACTGTCTGTAGGACACAAATGCCAGATCCTAAGACCTTTAAGCAGCACTTTGAGAGCAAACATCCCAGGACTCCACTTCCTCCAGAACTGGCTGATGTTCAAGTATAAAGTTGTTTACAGTTGAATTCATGACATCTTTGAGTCTTCTGTCTCAGACCTTAGGTAACAAACCTGAAGCTGCTTCTCTAACAAACTGTTGATCAGCAAAAATAAAGGGGCTACAGAAACACTCATTTTTATGCTGTTCCCTTTTGGGCTTCATGCAAAGACAATTCTGTGTAAATGTACAGTTGACTCTGATTTGGAAATCCGAAATCAGTCCATCCTTGTTATAAAAATTTTGCTTACAATTGTAATTATATTGATGTTCATACTGTGTAAAATAACTCATTTAATAAACTAGTACTTTGATTTTACATCAACAACAACAAAAAGATAGACTACATGATCTTAAAAGACATTTCATGTTTCCAATAGAAAATTATAAATATAATTTTGCAGTTTTCCTGTTCCCATGTGGTGCTGTGGGTTAACGATCTGGGCTGCTAAGTCATTTGAGCCACACAGTTGGCAGTTCAAACTTATCAGTTGCTCCTTGGAAACTCTATACAGGGTCGCTATGGGTTGGAACCAACTCAACGGCACTTAACAACAACAATGCCATTTCTGGAGTCCTGGTGTGGTGCTGTGGGTTAATGCACTGGACTGCAAAGATGATTTGAACCATAAGGCCAGTGATTCAAGCTCATCAGCCACTCATTAGAAACCCTATGCAGGGTCACTATTAATTGGAACCAACTCAGTGGCACTTAACAACAACAACATGCCATTTCTAATACCAGTGGTCTGTGAGTTTATCAAACTGTGGTGGCTTGCATGTAGCTGGGATCCAGAAGTTATGCCACTGGCATTTTAAATCCCAGCAATGTCAGCATGTGGGCAGGGTTCAGCATAGTTTCCAAACTAGGATAGATTAGGAGGAAGTAGAGGCAGACTACTTTTGAATGTTTAGCCACTGAAAACCTTATGAATAGCAAGCAGCGAAGCATTGTCAGATTATAGTATCAGAAGATGGAATGGAGAGATAAGAGCTGCCTACTCATTGTAGTGATTTTAATGGAATAAAACTTTTGAGATCATTTGATAATGGGACAAAACTCAAAATGAGGAAAATCAGCTGCAAACATGTATTTAAAACAACAAAAACAACAACAATTGGAATATACAATATATGAATCCATGAAAATTAGAAGTTGTCAAGAATGAAAATGAAATGCATAAAGATTAATATCCTGGTCATTAGTAAATTGAAATGAACTGGTATTGGCTTACTATGCTGGAAACAACAAATACAGGATGGAAGGTGTTGCTGTCTGTGATAGGGTGAAATGCTATTACAACCACTATCATTCAAATTTATGAACCAACCACCAAAAATCAGTGTTGATAAAATTCAAGAGTTCTAGCAATTCCTAATGTCTGAAATTGTTCAAATATGTAATAAGGTGTATTGATAATTACTGGAGATTGGAATTGATA